GAATAAGGTTCTTGGTTATTGACTTGGAACAAACACGTTTAATTCATATACTTTGGGATAATAACCTTTGGGTTTGCACCAGTTTGGTTTCTTGAGGTTTTGGTCACCCTGTGGTTTATTTTATTAGGATTTCATTGTGAAGTTTACATTTAATTTTAGTTTGATTTCTGGTTTTTGGTACTTGGGCTCTGGCATTTAAAGAGAAGATGCGACTTCCTAATTGAGAATGGAGTACTTATAACATTTAACAAAAATTTCCACAGAAAATATATATAGTCCTTACAGTGATTTAGATAAGTATTTTTCACAATTTTATTGTTGTACTAACTACCATTTCATGACAAATAAATTGGGTCAAGTATTACAGATTTATATAACGTCTGTAATAACCATACTTGTCTTTTTCATTCTCTTTTCTTTCTTGGTCTGTGTTTGTATCTGAGCCTATTATACTGTGTTACTTCAATGGTTACTACTTTCAATAGTAACATTGATATGTTCTCATCAACTCACCGCTCCTGTCCACATACTTCCACAAAACCTCTACAGGGGATCCACTCCAGATTATGGGACACTTCCTATATGTTTCATTTCATTGTATGGGTACCAGTGGAACAAGCAAGGACTGCCCCTCATGGGGAAATGACTAACTCACCTCCTTTTGTTGTTAAGCATATATCTAATGACATGCACAGTTTCCCAAATCCAATTCAGCTAGTTCTCTGTTATTTGATAAAAAATATTATTTCATTACTGTTTTATTTAATTTAACGATTTAGATGAATTTAAAAAATTTTGTTTGTTAGAAGGACAATGCCACAATTCAATTCAATTTAATCAGTTCAAGAAACATTTATTAAGTGCTTTTCTTTTCACAAAGTGTTGTTTTAGATGCTAGGGATACAAGCAAAAATGAAACATTTCTTACCCTCAAAGAGTTTACACTCTACTGGGAATGAGAGAATACAACATATACACAATAAGTGAATATCAAATATGTACAGAATAATGCAAGGTAATTTCAGGAGAGAGAAGAGGCTAATTATTGGAGGTAACAGGAAAAGTCTTATGGAAGAGGCAGTTACTTATATGTCCCATCATTTGTTGGTGACTTGGGTTCCTGACGCTTTTCTCTGTAGAGTGAAAACTGTATGGGCCTAGAAATGGATGGGAGGATTAGCCTAGTTACACAATGAGAGTAAATTCCTGGAGTGTTGGGCACCAGGTAATGATTTTTTTCCCAGCACTTTTGTGGAACTATATAGAAACAAAAATATGCAAATGAAGGAACTGTGACCCACAGTATAAGGCTGAATCTGAGACTTAAGAGGTTTGACTTCCATTCTTATGTTTATTCATACCTTGCTTAATGATCTTCTTTTCTCATCTATAAAAAATTTACTAAAACTCATAAAGACCATTTACTAAGGCCTGGAGCTGTTATAACAATAACAGATGGCATTTATATTTTGCTATTGTTCAGTCGTTTCTGGCTTTCCATGACCCCATTTGGGGTTTTCTTGGCAAAGATACTGGAGTGGTTTGCCATTTCCTTCTCTAACTCATTTTAAAGATGAGAAAACTGAGCAAACAGAGTTAAGTGACTTGCCAGGACCATACAACTAGTAAGTGTGTGAGGCCATATTTGAGCTCAGACCTTCCTGACTCCAGGACCAGCATTCATATAGCACTTTACATACATTAACTCATTTAATTTTAACAACAACTATGTGAAGTAGGTGCTACCATTATCCCCACTTAACAGATAAGGGAACGAAGACTGAGAGAAGTGAAATGACTTGTCCACAGTCACACAGCTAAGTTTCTGAGGCAGGATTGGAACCTAGCTCTTCATGACTCCGAATCTAACACTGTATCCACTGTGCATGATGTAACTGCCATTCTTTGACCTATATCAGAGGAAAGGTGGCCATATGATTGAAATCATGGATTCTTAAAGTACTGATGTTATAAGTATAGTTTCATTCAGTCTATAATAAATCTATAATCAATATAATTTTTGTATTTTCTCAATCTGGTTTTTCCTTGCCAACTTCAAAAACTGTTTAAAAATAAAAATAAAGCTTTATTAATAGCTTATTTTCAATATTAAAACACGAAAGGTAAAATAGCTTTAAAATTAAAAATAATACTCTACTTTTGACTAACAATCCATTTTCCATTTAAAAAGTACTATGATAGCAAATCTAAGCATTTTTCTCTACAGTATGATGATTGCCATTTTAAAAAAAATTACAAATCATGAAGAAGACATGATATTAAGGGATCCATTGTCCAGTATTCAACACATGCACATGTGGAAAGCAGCTTTTTCTATGTAAGTGATTGCCTTGTAATATCACTTAAGTGAAACCATTCACTTGGGTGTGTGTCTGCTCACTGAAACTGCCCCCAAGCTTCAAGCCCTTCCAGAAAGGAAGCAGAGAATAATTTCCTTAATGGGGAAAGGTAATCTCATTGTAAGAAAGGCATACTTCACTTAGGTGTCCTTGGTTCCCTCCAAGTTGGAGAGCCTTTCTATTTTGATCTTGGCATCAGTCTCATGTAATCTCACAGGAACAAAGTCAAAACCAGAAAAGGCTTATGTTGTGTATGTTTGATTGGTGAAGCCACAAAATTAGGGTGTCAATGAGTGTCCAGGAATTTAGGTGCAATCTTGCTGCTGGACTTCTGTTCAACTTTCTTTAATTATTCCTTCCAATTATGAAGATGTCTGCACACTTTTGTGATAATACATAGAGACAAAAATATGCAAGTGGAAGAATTGTGACCCACAGTATAAGGCTGAATCTGAGACTTAAGAAACTTGGCTTCCATGCATATCTTTATTCATATCTTGCTGAGTGATCTTGGTGTAATAGTGTGCCTCAGTTTTGTTATCTATAAAATGGAGATGATGGAAAAAAGAATCTGAAAAGTTCTTTTTTGATGTAGACTAAGAAGATTCATGTGGATGGTGAATGTGCTTTTATTACTGCTCAATAAAAATACCACTATAGGTATCGTATATTTGATCCTGACTTCATAGGATCACAAACTTTCAGCCAGCAGGAATCTTAAAATGATTAGACAAGTTACAGAATTTTACAGATCAGGAAGCTGAGGCCCAGAGGGTTTAAGTGATTTGCCCGAGGTCATGCAGGTAGCTCCTTTTGATAAAGATGATTCCAAAGGGCAGTTGTATTTATAACATGTCTATATTCAACAATTATTAATGATAATAGCTGGCATTTATGTAGCACTTATATGTGCCAGGCACTGTGGTAAGTTCTTTACAAATATAATCTTCACAACAACCCTGGGAGGTGGAGGCTATTATCATTCCCATTTTACAGTTGAGGAAACTGAGGCAAATAGAGGTTAAGTGATTGGCCCAAAGTCACACAGCTAACTGAGGCTGGATTTGAACTCAGATCTTCCTGACTTCAGGCACCTAGGTGCCACCTAGCTGCCTCAGCTCATCAATTTAAATCAAATATTTATTAAGGACATACTCTGCACAAGGCACTATACTATGTACTAAGGATACAAAGATAAAAATGAAAACCAGTCCTCCAGGAGCTTATATTCTGTGGGAGGACATGTATATATATATATGTATGTGTATGTATGCATGTGTAGGTACATGTGTACAATTTGGGGTGCATGTACATATTTTTAGTTGCCTATGTGTGTACATTATCTTGAGTGGAATGTTAGATTCAATGACTTCTTAGGTCCTTTCCCATTCTAAGAGTTTAAAAGTCTATTTCATGCCCCTGTTCGAAACCTTGTATGTCACCCTGTCACCTACTGAAGAGAATACAAAACCCCTCAGCTTGGCATTCGAGGCTCTCCATGCTTTGATTACAACCTACTTTTTCATCCTTATCTTCCACGGTTCCTTAAACCTCACTCTCAGCTCTAGTCAAATAGAACTAGTCACTGTTTCAGGAATCCAGCTTATGTTTTCCCATCTTTGTTCAAGCCATGCTTTCTGCTTAGAACGATTTCTCTCCCCCCTCCCCATCTTCACTAGTCAAACACTTACTCATCTTTCTAAGCATCCTCAAAAGCAGCCTTCTCCCGGAGGCTTCCCTGATCACCTCAGGTAGACGGAATCCCTGCCTTCTTCTTTACGATCTCATAGAGCTCTTTGTTCCTTATTCACGTCTGTCTCCTGGAGCTTATCCCTCTCAGTCCTCCATTGCAGTTTCTTCTCATTTTTCCTACCTTCTGCGAGCTAGCTAAGGGCAGGGACCAAGTCTCACTGTTTTTGTTCCAGCATAGGAGTGTGAACACATTAGGTGTTCAGAAAATGTTTGTTAAATGACTGATATGCTTCTAATTGCCCTTGGTGACCACTCTGTTCCCCCTCCCTCCGCCCGCTTCCACTCTCCGCCCCAGTCTTTCTAGGTGGTTCATTGTTCCCTGTATCCTGAGGCTCTGAAGTTTGGGTGCGTGTGGGAAGAATTTGGGGGTCTTCTTGCCTCATATTGAGGATTTGGGGGGCTAAGTGCCTCCTCTTCCTCCAACTGCAGGCAGACTTGGGAGAGGGTGAGGCCAGAGAGTTGAGTTGCTCTTTTATTTGGTGTATTGCGCACGCGACGCGTGGATATGGAGGGAGGGAAGATCAGAGGGGATTTCCTAGGGGGTTCCCTTTCAGGGGTCTGCCTTGATTTTCCTTCGTGAGGGACTACCTTGGACCCTTAGCTAAGGAACTCCTCCACTTCTTCAATCACTAACTCTCACTTATGGCATAAACCCCAGACCCTCTCCCAGGGTTCCCAGCCCTGGGACATCCTCTTCATCTCTCCAATTCTCTCCCTCTGCCTGAGTCGCCAGGCAGCTGGCGAAGGGTTAATTAAGGGGAGGGGGTTGGCAGGGGGAAGGGGGGGGAGCGGATGGTGGCCGGGAGGAGCCGTGACAGCCCTGGTAGAAGCCTGAGCTGCGGGCTCCTGGTGAGTGATAGAGCAAGGGAGTGAGTGGGCTGAGCTGAGCCAAGCTGAGCGGAGCCCAGGCAATCGCAGCGTTTCCTTTCTCCCAGGCGCGCCGTGAGGTTGGGGAAGCTGCCGCAGAGTCTGCCTCCGGCCCTACAGCCCTACAATCCACCAGCCCAGCTCTTCCTCTTGCTCTGTGCCCCAGACTCGCCATGCTAATCCCCGGCCGACGGCTTCGGTGCTGTCCAGCGTTTCCCAGCATGCGCCCCCGTTGAGGCTCCCCCTTCCCGCGCCCTTGAGCGCCAAGGGCCCCCCAGCCCTACACTCCCCTTCCCTCCCCTTTCCCTCCTCCTCCCCAGCCTTGAGGGCCCTGCGCGCCCAGCCTCCCAGTGAGTTGGAGCGCAGCCCGGGGGGCCAGGATGGTGCAGAAATCCCGCAATGGGGGAGTCTATCCGGGGCCCAGCGGAGAGAAGAAACTCAAGGTGGGCTTCGTTGGGCTGGACCCTGGGGCCCCCGACTCCACCCGGGACGGGGCACTGCTTATTGCCGGCTCGGAGAGCAGCAAACGCGGCAGCATCCTCAGCAAGCCTCGCTCGGGCGGCGCCGGTACTGGCAAACCCCCGAAGCGCAATGCCTTCTACCGCAAGCTGCAGAATTTCCTCTACAACGTGCTGGAGAGACCCCGCGGCTGGGCCTTCATCTATCATGCTTATGTGTGAGTAAGGGGCGGGCAGACTTCTCTGCACGGCCCGGCTGGGCTGGCGGAGGACAGCTGCGTTGTAGGGGTGACCCAGGGGAGGTCTCTCCAGGAGACTCATAGGAATAGAGGTGGAATGGTGTGAGTTTTGTGGTGTCCATGTGAGTGCGGATGTTAGAGGTGATAACGACAGTTAGCATGTAAATGTGTTGGTGTGGTTCTGCGTGATTGTGTGTCTGCGTGATACTGGTGCAAGTGTATCTGTTGGGATTGCTTGTGATTGTGTGTTCGTGGGTGCTAGTGTGTGACTGTCGTGTGTGATTGTGAATCTGTGGATGGTACTATTTGACTGTAAGTCTATGTGTGATCTCTACGATTAAAATGCAGCATTGAACAATTATCAGGGTAAACCAGGCAAGAAGATTCTGCTTTGAAATAGTCCCCAGGTACCCAGGAAAAAGCATCTCTATGTTGGAGAAGATAAAGATAATGATGACATTGTTTGTTGTGAGACTGCTTTTGATGCGCAAACTCAGATGTAGGTCCCAGGTCAACTCTTTTGGGTTTGGGAACTTTTGCCCCTATCTCTCCTCTCTCATCCCCACCCCCATGCAACTTTGGGCTCCTTTTTCGCCAACATTAATTATGAATTCTTGCTCTCCCTATCTTCCCATTAAAGAGAGGAGGAAATTTGTTTCTTCATATCCACTCCTCCTATCCTTACTTTAGGGGTCTTTGCAGGCATTGCCTACCTGCCACTGACAACCTATCTTCTTACTCCCTAATCGTCTCCTTCCATTTTTCTATGGGAGTGGGGGCAGGAACAGCTGTCTCAGCTAGAACAAAGGCCCAGACATCTGGAGGAAGCCAGAGGAGATAGATTTTGAGGGGAATTTAATTTCTCTCAGCCCTCTTTCCAGGCTAGACCTTGTTAACATAGCCCCATTGATATAGCCTAGTCAAGACCCTCCCCTCCACTGCATCTGTGAACTAATAGCAGAAGATATTCCCTAGCAGCGAGGTGGGTTGGGTTATTCTCTCTCTAAGGCACCAGGTTTTTCTTACTGGGGGCTTAGAATAACCTCCGTGTTTGAGGGCTGCCTATTGTGTTCAAGAGGAGGGACTCAGAGATAGGGACTCCACCTCAGCCACACTTTGGGATACAAATGCTTATGCAGGTGGAATTTGACACTCTTTTCCTTCCCTAACCCTTATCATTTGTCCTTCCTGGATTGTCTCCAGGAAAGGTGGCTTACTTACTGGGCAGGAGAGCTTTTATCGCTATAATGCTCACCTAGGAGCTCAGGGGATCTTAGGCAGGAAAGGAAAAGAAAAAAAAACCCAGCATAGATCAGAGTGTGAGAACTGGTAAAGAGGATGTGTTTGTATTTATGTTGGGGTGGGGGTGGGAGGTACAACAGGAAACAACTTGACTATTTTTAATAGGTTATGTCACCTCCATGGGTCTCAGTTTCCTTGCATGTCAAATGATGGCATTGGACAAAATGACCTCTAAGGTCCCTTCTAACTCTGGTTCTTGTGATCATTTTTTTTATTTTTTAGTTATTTTAAATAAAAAAGTGGAAAATGCCCAGTTTTCCATATTGCATCTAGAGACATCCTCTAACTGAAAGCTGCAAACCACATCCAAGATTGATTGGTATTTCTGTGGCTTTGAAATTCCCCACTGTCTGGGAGCTTCTCTTGTCTCAGGGCCTGTTTTCCCAATCAGACCCAAATGCACACGCTCTCTTTGTGTGCATTTGCATATGAGCAGGTGCATGTATGTGTGTGTGTGTGTGTGTGTGTGTGTGTGTGTGCGCGCGCACATAAAGTATACAGATCCTTAATATACAGGTGTGTTTCTTGCCATCCTCTTCTGTCACTCAGATAGGACCAAAACCAAATAAGTCTGACCAGAACACAGCCATTTTGTGAGTTAAAGCATTTGAGAAAGAGAAGAAGGAAGGAGAAAGCTTTGAGAAAGCATATCTTAAACTGAGCACATACTATCCCCAGGGGGGATGAAATGGAGAGACCAAAATGATTGATATTCTCTCTCTCTCTCTCTCTCTCTCTCTCTCTGTCTCTCTCTCCTGTCAGGAAAGGTCTGCATAAAGCTTGTGTGGGAAAGATGAGGGGTTAAGGAGACACAAGTATGATGTGAATGCTCACAGAAGGTACAAGATACTACCAAGCTAGCCAATGCCCATGGAGCTCTCAAGTGTAGTTTTTTGGAGATTGGGGTTCCAAGGAACAATTCTTTCCCATAGATGGGATGTCAGGGGAGTTATGGCAAATGGGCTACCTGTCTTGGGATCCCATAGGAGCTCCATCATCCATGAAAAAAAAATTCCTTTGTGCCTTAGTATCAGAGTTTTATAGCAGAAAACAGTAAAATGAAACAAACAGAAGGTAACATGGCTAGTTAGCCCCTGACTAAGTAATTAATCTGGTTACCTTCCTTATTGAATACTCTGACCAATTAAATCCCCTTGAAAAAGCATTCCATTTCATTAGGATGAATGACTTTACAGTAATGGCCTGGATATTAGTGCCAAGGGAGACACACGTATCACAAGAAAGCATTCAGTCTAGGGCTGGATTCTGTGTCCATGGATTTGTTCTGGGTAGAGGGATAATTACACTTATTTGCTCTGGGTCCTTGCTTGTTGTGGAATGGGGTAGGGAAAGCTTTGAGAAAGGGAAAGCTTGACTTTGTATCAGATCACTTTTGGGATATGTGTCTATACAATATCTAGCATTTATATAGTGCCTACTACGCTTCAGGCCCTGTCCTAAGTGCTTAAGAAATATTACTTCATTTGATCCTCTTGACAACCTTAGGAGGCAGGTGCTATTATTATCTCCATTTTACAACTGAGCAAACAAAAGTTAAGTGACTTGTCCAGGGCCACACAGCTAGTATATGTCTAAGGCTGGATTTGAACTCAGGTCTTTCTGACTCTAGGCTCAGTGCTATGTATATGTCTTTTCATGAAAAACAAAACAAAATAAACTTATTTTATGTTTGTTCTTTGTAGTCAATTTATTTGAATTTTGGTCACTTGGTATATCAAGATTCTATCCTTTCTCACAGGATCATTGGTGTTATGTTTTCATTAATGTGACTTAGAGATACTCAGAGGGTCTTGGCTAGATTGAGATTCTCCCTTGAGAGGATGTGTGATGATATGATCTCTTGGAAGAAAATGATAATAATACTGCATATTTCTATAATATTTTAAGGTTTGCAAAATGCATTATATACATTTACTCATTTGAATCTTACAACAGAGCTATGAGGTAGGCAGTACAAATGTTATCACACCCGTTTTATAAATGTAGAAACTGAAGCTCAGAGGGGTTAAGTGATTTACTAATGGGGACATAGTTAAGAAATAAATATCAGAGCTTAGATTTCAATTTTGCTCTTTCCTCATTCAACACTTGCTCCATCTTCATGTGTTGGAGACAGTCTTGTATATGGAGATTCAATTTCAACAGACATTTCTTAAACATCTATTATGTGCAAGGTACTGTATCAAGCCCCTGGGATACTAAGTTGAAAAACGACATAGTCCCTGCTTTCAATTGTTTTACATTGTATTGGATAGTTTTCCCATCAGTTCTTCCTTGGAGAAAATGCAATGTGGTTCTCCAGTATCCACAAGGGCAAATCCTTAGCTGAGTGTTTATGCTATGGTCATTACTGTTCTCTTACCCTAGGGAGGGCCAAGAGGATAGATTCTCCATCATCTCTGGGGAATGTAGCTCTGTTTCAGAACATAGCTTGAGGTAAAGTAAGGGGAGTATTTGTGCTCAGGCTCCAAAGAGAGGGAAGCCCATGAAAACTGATCTGAGTGCAGAGAAGCAACACGAGCTTTGTTGTTATTCAGTCATGTCCAACTCTTTGTTGACCTCATTTGGGGTTTTCTTGGAAAAGATACTGGAGTGGTTTGCCATTTCTCTCTCTAGCTCATTTTACAGATGAGGAAACTGAGGCAAACAAAGACTTGCCAAGTGCCATACAGTGTCTGAGGCCAAATTTGAACTCAGGAAGATGGGTCTTCATGACTCTAGGCCTGGCACTGTAACCATTGCACTATCTGTTTTTGTGCCCTGTGCCTATATTGATCCTGGATTTTCCTAAGAAAATTTCTTAGCAGTGGGCCCAGTACTCAATTCTATGTAGTCATGGACATAAAGAGAGAAGAAATAGACTATTATTTGGAATGAATTCTAAATTTCCCATGATTGGGTCGTTTTCCCTTTGTGATCCTAGTGTGGATTCCTGTATTTAGGGAGCATTGGGAATTTAAAAAAATATTGGGGGTTATATGACTGAAATTGCAATTACTAATGGTACCTTCCTCAATCTTTTCTTCCCTTCTTCCTCATGGGCTCTATTTATATTTCTGTGACAGTCAGGATGCTTGCTCAGACACATTTCATCAAATGTATAGTAGACGATTGCTTTCCTGCATCCTTAAAAAACATGTTTGGGAATTTAAAAGACTCAACCGACAGCCGCACTTGGGGTTGGATTTGCTTATGGAGCTGGATAGAATGTAATAATCTTAATAAGTAGCATGTATATATCACTTTAAGGTTTGCAAATCATTTTTTCATATTATTCAATTTGTTTTCCTATCTGTAAGGTAGGTGCTATTATTATCCTTATTTTACAGATGACGAAACTGAGGTTAAGTAACTTGCTCATGATCACATAGCTAAGGAACATATGAGATAGAATTTAAACTCAGATCTTTTTAACTCCAAGTCCATCACTCTATCCACTATGCTACTACAGCTACTTATAGGTAGCTATCATAGTTTTGCTTGCATGCATGCCTATGTTGTCTCTTTAATTAGACTTTGAGCTCCTTATAGGGAAAGGGGTGTAGCAGGCTTTCCATAAATGCCATTTGAATTGAATTTATTATAAGGCTAAAGATTGAGTTTTCTGTGTGCTATTTGCTTCCAAGTTACCACATGGACACTGAGAAGATTATGAT